CCACAGGGTTTGCTCGTGCCCACTGGCTTGGGCTCCTGGCTTCCAGGGTCTGGCCACGACCAAAAAAAACACTTCCCGAGAACGCTGTGCAAGCTCCACTTATATAATTCATAAGGGTGTGAAGGCCAAAATATGCAGTTGGCATCCAATAAAAGATATATATTGTATTTACTGGCAGATAAGACATGCCAGTTTTATAAGGAAATCTGGGAATGGGGGGGGGGGAAAGGAAATGTGAAGGAAAAAGTTGAAATAGTTTTCATCTTGCTTGTTTTAAAGAGATTTTTTTTAAAGTAATTCTGTAGATGCAGTATACTATATACAGGAGTTCAGATGAAAAATCATTGGTTATGGCTATGAGACAATATTCTCCTAACTTTTAATGGTATAAAACAATATAGTTAAAAGGGAATATATTAGTATTGGGTACTGAGTAAGTTACAGAACAAAAATTTACTGGTTAATGAAATCCCATATACATGGAACGCTATATAAATAGCTTTCAATATGATCTCCCATTAAATCCTGGAAACCAAAAGTAAATCATAACGTGAAATAAATTTCAATACATTTGTATAAAAACTAATACAAATAACTAGTGAAACAGAATAAGGAGTTGGTACAAACTTGGCACAAAGCATTCAGCAAGAAACTAAATATGAAAGAATATTTATTTCACACTCCTACATGGAGTAAAAATAAATATCCCACTGAATATTAGTGCACAGGAAAAAAACTGTTTACTACTAAATGCATTCTTTTAAAATATATTTTATTGATTTTTTTACAGAGATGAAGAAAGAGGGGTAGAGTTAGAAACATCGATGAGAGAGAATCATCAATCAGCTGCCTCTTGCACACTCCCTACTGGGGATGTGCCTGCAATCAAGGTACATGCCTTTGACTGGAATCGAACCCGGAACCCTTCAGTCTGCAGGCTGATGCTCTATCTACTGAGCCAAACCAGTTTTGGCAATAAATGCATTCTTACATAAAATATTGGACCTTCAGATTTTAGGGACGTCTCCATGGGCTCAGAGAGAGACTGCATCCATGGTGCTTGGACGTTTGGTGCTGCTGTGCGCTGCCACTAGGGGATCTCATTACTGCTATTGCCTTCTGGTTTTCTACTCTTCAGTCTCTTACCCTCTATTCACATCCTCAGACCTTCCACCTTCAGTATAGGTACAGTATACTGAGGTAGGGAAGATGCATGCTGCCAGAGCAAATGATACAGCTCCGTGCTTCCTAGATGCCTGGACACTGCGTTCCTCTGTCTATGCCTCTGAACTGGATGTTTCCTAGACCAGTGGTCGGCAAACTGAGGCTCGCAGGCCACATGCAACTCTTTGCCCCTTGAGTTTTTTAGCAAAGGCTGGCTTAGGAGTACCCTAATTAATAACAATGTACCTACCCATATAGTTCGAGTTTAAAAAATTTGACTTTCAAAAGAAATTCCAGTCGTTGTACTGTTGATATTTGGCTCTGTTGACTAATGGGTTTGCCGACCACTGTCCCTAGGAAATACAATATACTCCTGGTTTTAATTCTGCACCAAGGTATGCCCTGGGAGTTACAGGCTGTTTGAGAGAAGCCAAGTTACAATAACTAGTAATTGGCCAACTTAGTTGCCTGCTTGAAGGGGAACATAATGAAAGGTTTTAATACCTTAATCAATGGAAGTTTTATATAATCTTAGATGACCTTTAAGTACTCCTCCTACACAGAAGCCAGTTTGGGCATGTTTCAGACTTGGAGGTTTATTCTTTTTTCCTTTTCATTTTCCAAAGGAATTTATTTGGGCAGACTGGGGGTCAGGGAGGCCCTTCAGCTAAAAGAAGGGGAAATCAAATAATTAGACAATTTTTGACATAGTAGGGACCTTAGAGTTCACTTTACTGCTGACAAAACAGTGACTAGAGATAATAGACTTTTTTGAGGTCTTACAGTAAAGCATGCCATGAAGAGCCAGAAGCTAGGACCCAGGTGGTGGTTCTGAGATGCCCAGTCCAGTGCTCTTTATGTAGGACCAGCTGCACATTCTGTGACAAAAAGGGACAGGTTAATGACTGTGTTGCTTTTTCTTTCTTCCTAGTAAAATTTAAAATCCATACCATTCTAATGATTTCATCTGTTCCCTGGGGCTTCTACCCTACCCCCAACTCCCACCCCACTCGCAAGCTAAGAATGACTAGTTCCTCCTCATTTCCACAACACTGAGCTCTAGTTTCCCCTGGATTACTTACCTCATTACAGTGTGATCAGTTGGGCTCACACTGGTTCTTCTGAGCTAGATGTGGTCAAATGCCAGACATCCTTCATCTCCATGGTCCCAGCATCAAGCACCATGCCTGGTACAAGTAAGTTCACACTGGACAGCTCACATCTAGCACCTCTCCATCAGCGCAGGAAGTTCTAATGAACCAGCACTGGTCTATAGCAGTCATGAAGAGAAGGCTGAGAAAGCTCTGAGGTCAAGGGAAGCAGTGATTTCTTCAAGGAGGGGGGTTCTGCCCCCCCAGTGACAGCCACCCTACTCTCTCAAAGACAGGGGGAAGCTGGTTAGAGGCAAGTCACATTCCCGTGGTGACTACCCATGTTTTATCCTAAATTAGGGAGCTCTTTTCCTTGAGCAGTGTCTCCTGTTTTTACAGACTGTGATTTTCTTTTCCTTATTCCATTTTTTGCTCATAGTTATGACTGGCTATCACTTTGATATTGAGCTGTGACAGCCATCTTTATTTTCTCCTTCTTATCAAAGATTTGAACAGTAAATCATAGGTGCTTCAGTCTATACTTAAATCATTCTCATTTGAATATTGAAGGGAGTATTAGAATTATACATAGTCTTTAAAAATATATATATATATATATATAATTGACTTCAGAGAGGAAGAGAGATAGAAACATCATTGTTAAGAGAAAATTATTGATTGGCTACCTCCTACATGTCCCTTACTGGGGAGGATTGAGCCTGTAACCTGGGCATACACCTTTGGCCGGAATTGAACCTGGAACCCTTTATTCTGCAGGCCGATGCTCTATCCACTGAGCAAAACTGGCTAGGGCATAGAATAATAGTCTTTTTACCACTGAAAGTTACTAGAATAATTCCTAAATTCATAGTTATGGTTTGTCCTCACAAGCAGGCATACAGAGAATTGGCATGCTTGGTAACTGTTTTCTTGAACTGTTGACCCAAATAAAATGTTCATAAACCTCATTTCTTAAGCATAACAGATGTGTAATTTCTGCCAATATTGGGTCATTAAGATTTACCAGGAGAATTCAAGTACATTTTAGAGTCAGTCCTTTGTATGTGAGAATACTACAGCTAAATTATAGAATTCTTTTGAACCTATAAACATTTTTTAGAGAAATATAAATGATGTAATTGTGCAAACCTTTGATATATTTAATTAGGGTTTGGTTTGCTGGCTTTGTACCTCGTGCTCCTCTCAGCTAACCTGTAACTTCAATTTGCATAGGCTTACAGCAGCTCGTTTTTGGAGCAATGTTTGATGATTATGACAAAAGAATAGAATGTTATTGGTTACTGGTGCTTAAAGTCCAGAGACCTGTTCTATGGAGGGATGGAGAAAGAGACCTGACCCTCACTTAAGCAGCTGGAAATACATGAATTAGCATAATTGGTTATGCGTAATGAGTATAATGAATGACTGGAATACACTGTACTCTGTGTTTGTCTCTTTATGCCACAGAACTCCAAACCCATGGAGGACAACTGGGCTTTAAAAGTAATTCCTAAAAGCAACTAAAAGAATCCTATGTGTCTTCTTATGATCTTTCCTCAGTGTGTGTCCTACTCTGTTCCTGTAAGGACACAGTCACACTGTGTTAGGGCCCACCCCAATGACCGCCTTTCACCATATTTACCTCTTTAAAGACCCTCTCTCCAAATACAGTCACATACAAATACTGTATGGTTAGGGCATCAACATATGCATTTTGAGGGGACACCGTCCAGCCCTTTAAGCATCTAACACATTTAATAGTTAGCCTGCCAACAACTCTACATTAATAGGGAACCTCTGGTAAAAATAAAGGTGGGGGAAAGGGGATACCATTTGTACACATATACTCATTGACAATTACTCTCAGGTAGAATTTTTTTTCTAAAAAAAAAAATGGTGATTTATTTTGCTTTAACATACAATGGTAAATATGCTTGGATCATCAAGTTTTCAAAAAATTTTCGCCAGGCATACTTCACACATTACAATTCTTTCATGTGAGTTCATTGGTTCTTCCATTCCAATGTACAAGAGGGATCCACCTGACACCTACTAGCAGCTTGGCTAAGAATGGACATGAGAATCAGACAATACATTGCAAGTAGAAAGTACTTTTCTCCAAAGGTGTATAAAAGTGTGGAAACAACATCGCTGCCTGCTCCACAGGACAGACAAGCTGAATTAAAAAATGCTCCCAACTAGGAATCACAGGACCCTGTGTCACAATACTTACACAACAGTTTCACAACATCTCACCAACAACTTGTGCACTTGAGATTTAAAAAAAAAAATCTGAAGGAAAAGAAAAACAGTAGCCAAGGAACTGCACAACCAAAAAAAAAAAATTATATAAAATATTTCCACCGCTATTTAAATGCCAAATTTAATCAAGCAATAGTAAAAAAACAAAAACAAAAACAAAAACAAAAAAACACAAGACAACATAATAATACAACCTTCTGTTTAAAATAACAGCAAGCACTGCTCCGCCTCTTTTTCCCACTGAATTTTACATATGAACAGACTATATATACTGGTTTGTTCAGAGAAATGTCCATTTGGTCTGTCGCACCAGTCAGGCTCACACCGAATCCTTTCCTTGTCTTCCAAGGACACACAATACCCCGTTGCTCCCATGTTTCCAGCACTCTGGGTTTAGGTGCAATGTCTCAAGTATAATACATTTCTCTCTCTTTTCCTTTACACAGTGCAGAGTATATGGGCTTAGGGTATGCAGATTTCCTTTCACTCCAGGTCACTGTCCTTTTCCAAATTCAAGGCGGTATTCAATGGGGTGCAGTAGTTGGGCTTGTCGGAAGGCACGTAGCCGGGTAGACACACGCATTTGTAGGAGCCTTCCGTGTTGATGCACTTGGCATTCTTGCAGAGAGACATCCGGTTGTTCAGCTCGTCGCATTCGTTCACGTCTGCAATAGGCCAAACCACACAGGTGACCAGCTCTGAGAGGACACAGAACCCACAGCCTACCCGAGGTGTCGAGGCACAAATATGAAATTTGTGCACAGGGGGTGGGTGGAGGTGTGTGTCCCTGGCTGTTCTCCTTCCCTTCCCCCACACTGAGGCATTCCCATTCATGGCTGCTTCCATCCCATGAATATGGTAAATCAGACTTTCTAGATCTTACAAAGGTAGACTACCGGGGGAATTCTAGAATTCCTTCCCCTGTGATTTAACACTACACGGCCAATTTGTTAGCCTGACGTTTTACAGTCAAACCTCAAGAAGGCTGGAAATGCTACCCCACTGGTGAATTCTTTTCCACTGGTAGAGAACAGAGGGATGTGTCAAGAGGAACACAATTAAAGAGCAAACCAGTGAGCTGAAAGCCTTCTGAGCAGCCCCTCCTAAGGCTGAAGTTTCCTTCTTGGGTTTCTTCCCACAGGAAAGAAAGACTCGTATGCACTTGCAGCACCTGTACTACCCCAGGTTCCCCGCTTTCCAGACCCACCACAGATGGAGACTGACCAACAGGGAAAGGGACACTACGGGAGGGAGAAGAACTGCAAAAAATAGAAGAAAACTTCAAGTCCAGGGCCTTTTAGGAGAGAGGACAAAGGGCCCTGGAACACAGTCTGGGAGTTCATTCGAGGTCGCACGAAGCAGGAGGAGTGTGAGCTTACTGCGCTTTTAAAAATAAGAGGGGAGGCAACGAGAGCATTTTAGGAGGAACTTTTCCCAAATGATTAACATGGAAGTTGTGTTTTATTCAGACATCTACATTCCCTTATGCTTGGGTCAAGTATTCAGGGAAAACATTGCTGGCTGCACAGTCAAAAGCTATATTTAAGAGTCAAAGTCAAGGAATGGTGATAGGTGAGGAATTCTACAGGAATTCTTACATGAGATATCAACTCTATTTTTAAACATATACTAGAGGCCTGGTGCATGAAATTTGTGCACAGGGGGTGGGTGGAGGAGTGTGTCCCTCAGCCCAGCCTGTATCCTCTCCAATCTGGGACATCCCTCTCACAATCCAGGGCTGTGGGCTCCCAACCACTCCCCTGCCTGCCTGATTGCCCCTAACTGCTTCTGCCTACCACACCCTAACCACTCCTCTGCCAGCCTGATCAATGCCTAACTGCTCCCCTGCAGGCCCGATTTCCCCTAACTGCCCTTCCGTGCTGGCCCACTCACCCTCAACTGTCCTCCCCTGCAGGCCTGGTCACCCCCAACAGCCCTCCCCTGACGGCTATCTTGTGGTGGCCATTTTATGTCCACATGGGGCTGGCCATCTTGTGTGCTGGAGTGACGGTCAATTTGCAGATCACATTTATTAGATAGGATATTTTCATTGATTTCAGAGAGGAACAGAGAGGGAGACAGAAACATAAATTAGAGAGGAACATCAATCGGCTACCTCCTGCATGCCCCATCCTGGGGATCTAGCTCGTAACTCCAGGCATATGTCCTGGCTGGGAATCAAACTCTGACCTCCTCGTTCATAGGTCAATGATGCTCAACTACTGAGCGTGCCAGCCGGGCTCACCTCTACTTTTTTAAACATTGTGGTAGAATATACAGAACAGGAATATGTCCATTTTAACCTTTTTTAAGTGACTAGTCCAGTGGCACTAAGTATATTCGTGTCGTTGTGCAACCACCACCGCCTTCCATCTTTAAAACGTTTCTCATTTTCCTAAACTGAAGCTCTGCAAACCTGTCTTAATAAATGTGATATGCAAATTGACCGTCACTCCAACACACAAGATGGCCACCCCCATGTACTTGAGGGCATGCGATCTGACCACAGGATATGTCAGGAAAAGAATTATTTCCCACAAGGCACCCTTCTTACCGACACAGGTCATCTTGGCCATGTCCAAGTGATAGCCATCAAAGCAGTCGCAGGTGTAGCCCTCCTGCACCCGCACACAGCGGCCGTTCTCACAGCCATTGAGGATGCCGCACTCCTCGGCCTGCAGCTCCTCGAAGCTGTTTAAAAAGCCTGGCAACGACAGGCAGGCGCCGAGTTAGAAATGTTCGCCCTCTGACACTGTGTCTAAAACCTAGATGGTTCTGCGTACGGTTCACCAGACAGACATATTTCAGACACTTTAAAGTCAGCATTACAATGTAAGCAAATACTGCAGACAACAGCAACACAACAGGAAGCATAAAATATTAAAAATGTTGGATATTTTTGTACAAATCAGCCCCACATCCTGGACTCTGATGCGCCAGCAAGTTTGGTTTTTGGTTTTGCCCTTAATTATGTAAAGTTTTTACCTAAAGTTCCAAATTCCCTGAGTTTTTGTGTGTGTTTTTTTAAAAATATATTTTATTGATTTTTTTACAGAGAGGAAGAGAAAGGGATAGAGAGTTAGAAACATGGATGAGAGAGAATCATCGATCAGCTGCCTCTTGCACAACCCTACTGGGGATGTGCCTACAACCAAGGTGCATGCCCCCTTGACCGGAATCAAACCTGAGACCTTTCAGTCCGTAGGCCGATGCTCTATCCACTGAGCCAAACCGGTTTCGGCCAAGTTCCCTGAGTTTTCACTAGCAAAGGTCAGGACATCTTTCAGCGTGGAACCAAGAGTGAACTTATCAGAGTTCAGGAGACGTTTGTTTAGAATACCCAGGAGAGCTGGAGGGGCGCTTCTGCTGCTTAGAGTTCCCGGAGAGGGAGGGACAGGCCCCTGGGCCTGTCGCTCTGTTTGTTTGCTCTGGCTTGGGAACGAGCCCCACAAAAGGGCTCTTGGGGATCAGAGGACAAAGGCAGTAAAAGGGACTCAAAACATCCTGATAAATGAGAGAAGAACATCGTGCCTGTGTCTACTGAACCCATAGTCCTTTTGTGCTGACCCAAAGACGCTCTTGTGGAGTTCAGATAGCTTTAACGGGACTCGGGGCTGCAGTGTAATAACACAGAAACGTCTACCCTGGCAGCGAGAGTGCTTCGCTCTCTTTCTGGAGAAGGAAGCTGTGAATGTGAAAGATCAAGCACATTGTGGGTGTGGCCCCTCGTCCCCTCCCCACCTTCTGGACCTCACCAAGTATTAGCTTTAAGAAAAATCAAAATGATGCCGACACCAGTTTGGCTCAGTGGATAGAGCGTCGGCCTGCAGACTCAAGTGTCCCAGGTTCGATTCCGGTCAAGGGCATGAACCTTGGTTGAGGACACATCCCCAGTGAGGGGTGTGCAGAAGGAGATTGATGTTTCTAACTCTATCCCTCTCCCTTCCTCTCTGTAAAGAAATCAATAATAAAACATATTTTAGAAAGAAAGAAAGATCAAAATGAGGAGAGGGGTGTTGGGGAGCTGGGTTTTGTGACAAAGGGGAAGGGATTAAGTAACACAAATGGGTAGTTACAGAGATGTAGATGACAGCACAGGGAATACAGGCAATAATAGCCTGATAATTAGGTATGGGGCCAGAGGGGTATTGAAACGGCAGGGGGGACCGCTCTGTAAAGCACATGATTTTCAAACCTCTTTGCTGTACATCTGAAACTAATACAGAATAATATTGTAAACTGTAGTTAAAAAAAAATGTAGGGGAAAAAAATCAAAATGTGGCCAAAACTCTTAGGCCTTTGAAGTATGTAATTCTCCAGTGGAACTGCAGGGGGCAGCAAACTATCATTGCTTATACAGGGCTCTAGGTCTAACTTAGTGACCTAAAGAATTTAGTAATATATCCAGGACAGGTCTTTTTTACAAAATTTTAAAGGAAAAAAAAAAAAAATTACAAGTCATCAGGAATACGTCAGCAGATTCCCCCTAGCCAGTCTGAGAAATACCGACTTAAGAAAATAAAGCCAAATTCCAGGTATTGCAGCAAAATCATTTTGACTTTAAAACTGGTAAAATCATTTTTTATTCTAGAAATTAAAACAAGAAATGAAATTTGAAGCTCCTACACAGACATCAAGTAGACTCCACAAAATACTTCCATAGGACTCTAAGACGGGGTCAGTACAGCGCTGTCCCTGCTGCCTATTTTATAAATAAAGTTTTATTGGAACACAGCCGCTCCCTCTGACACCTGTCTGCTTTCATGAGAACACAGCAGAGTTGAGTAGCTGCGATGGAGAGGTTGTGGCTGCAAAGCCTACACACTTCACTATCTGGTCCTCATAAGAAAAAAGTTGATTTCTGCTCTAGGAGATTCCAGCTTTATTAGCTATTGCTCTAGCTAAAGGCACTATCCGCCATCAGTAATATTTAAAAATAGCTAGAAAGCAGGAGATGGCGAATTGTAAAAGTGATAAGAATCCTTAGCCTCCCCTCCATGTTACCACCTACCCAATACCGTCATTTCTGCAGGAGGGCCAGTGAGCCCTTGCGCCTGGTCTGAGATGGAGGAGCTATTTCTTATAACCTGTTCGAAATCTAAAGGCCATTTTGTCATCAAAGCTGGAGGTCCTGGGACTACATCTCAACTCCCTATGTTGCTAAATAGGAAATGGATATGATACCAACTTGTTCCCCTTTTAAGGTTTGTATTGAATGGAAAAAAAGAAAAGTGTTTTAAGGCAATGTGAGCATTAAAAAAGAAGGTACATTAGCCAGAACATTTCAACATGGAACTTCCTGAAATCTGAATTATGTTGCGATCCAGGCTACACACATAAGCTGTGTCAGAGCTGATCTGGTATTTTGGATTTATGGGCCAGGTAAGCTGGCTTTATTTCAACCTTAATATTTCTTCTCCCTTTCTTTTCCTCTCTGTCTCTTTTTAAGGTAAATGTTTATGGGCCTATACTGTAAGCACAGAGAAACGTAGAAATCCTACGTGCACAGTCTTATAGCTGCTAGTGCATCTAGGCACATTTCATGAGGTCGTGCATGCCTGTGCATTGTTGATTACAGGAAATCTCAGGTGTCAAAAGTGAGAACAGTGGTTGCCCTTGCAGGGAGTGGGCTAGGAAAGGACACCAGGGCCTCTGGATACAGGAATGTTCTAGACCTGGATGGGAGTTACACAGATGTGTCAATGCTGTGTTCATGTAAATTCTGTATTGATTGATTGATTTTAAAGAGAGGGAGGGAGGGGACAGAGGAAAAGAGAGACAGGCATCCATTTGCTGTTCCACTTATGTATGCATTCATTGGTTGATTCTCGTATGTGCCCTGACCAGGGATGGAACACGCACCCCTGGCATATGGGGATGATGCTTTATTAAACTCAGTACCTGGCCAGGGCTGTTCACGTAAATGTTAGAGCACCCTAATTCTACTGGATGAACAATATACTACAACCTTCAAAAAACAAGAAGAAGGGAGGAAAGAAAGGAGAAAGGGAAGGAGAAAGAGGGGAAAGAGAAAAGAGAAGGAAAGGGGAAGGGAAGGGAGAGAAAAAAAACAAAAACCTCTTCAACTGAGAACTGAAGCAGATCCAAGTGCAATCACAAGGCGTGCATTGCCCCTCAGGGACTTGGTCATGGCTAGGTTGATGCGCAGATATCAGGGCCCAAAGAAAGGAAAAGCTTCATTGTATTTTGTGAGTCAGCAGCCTCTCCAAGTCCCAACTCACTCCCCACCCCATTCTCCCCCCGCCTCCCCCCCCCGTCCTGAAAATCTGGTGCAGAGTGGCGACCCTGCAGGGGGGGCCCCTCAGTGGGAAGGGACCAGGCAGCTGGGACCAGCGTTTCCCTATTCCCATTCGTGAAGTTATTATCTACTAATCTATTATCCTATTATCTACTAATATTTCCTTTTGAACTGTCCGGCTTTTCAGACTTTGGATACTGAGTCTCCACGGAAAAGCTCTGGTTTCCCCGTGAAAACATGCAGCTGGTGTGGCTTCCTCACCCAGGCCGCTGGGCTGCACATGGTAAAGCAGTCACTTTCTAAACGAGAGTAGGGTATTCACACCCCACCTCCACAAGAAAACAAATGCAGGAAAAGCCGGCACAGATCCAGCTTCCTTAACACATCCCCTCACAAGTGGATTCTAAAAATTAATTTCTCACCAGGAGAGCAATGTTTTTGATCCTCCCACTCTAGAGCAGTTTACCTTTGTGTGACAAAAGCTACAATTCTGACTGGGGGTTCAAGGAAACCCTCACTAGACCACCACTTACTGGGTACAAAATGATTGTTATGCAAATGTAATAAGGTAATTTGCTTCACATATAGTGATGGCAGCAGCCAAACCAGAGAGACCAAGAGCTGATCCAACAGCTCTCACAGTTGGATGCGGAAGGTTTAGCCCAGGGGCCATGACTCCCCAGTTTCTGATGCGGAGGTCTAGCTCAGCCTGAGGATCTGCATTTCTAACGAGTTCCCAGGACTACATTTTGCAAACCCTTGGCTAATCCTGAACCACAATTTAGTGTCAAAGTCACCGGAAACGTCTGCTTACGGTCCTGAATGAAGTAGGGATCGGCTTCCGGAGCATACTGTTCACTGAAGTCCACCAAGGCGTCCCGGCCGTACGGCTGCCGGCGTCCTGTGACCGGGATGTTACACAGCTGGGCGTAGTCATCTAAGAAAGAAACAACAAGGGATGCCTTCAGTGTTTGCTCGCATCTGGATGCATCTACTGCAGCTTAGAGGCCTGGGAATCTGCCAGGGCAGTGGCCACCGCAGGCCCATGTCCCGTCCACACCGCTGGGCCAGGAAGCGTCTCAGTGTTCTTCATGAGAGCTCTGTCCATCCACATACACTGAGTGTCCATCCACATACACTGGGTGTCCATCCACATACACTGGGTGTCCATCTACATACACTGAGTGTCCGTCCACATACACTGGGTGTCCATCCACATACACTGGGTATCCATCTACATACAATGAGTGTCCATCCACATACAATGAGTATCCATCCACATACAATGAGTGTCCATTCACATACACTAGGTGTCCATCCACATACACTAGGTGTCCATCCACATACAATGAATGTCCATCTACATACGAGTTTCTGTCCACAGACATTGTCTTCCACATACAGTGAGTATCCACCCACATACAATAAGTATCCATCCATATACACTGAGTGTCCATCCACATACAATGAGTATCCATCTACATACGAGTGTCTGTTCATATACACTGAGTGTCAACCACATATAATACATTCGGTGTCCACCCACATACAATGAGTATCCATCCACATACAATGAGTGTCCATCTACATACGAGTGTCTGTCCACATACATTGAGTATTCGTCCACATACAATGAGTGCTGCAGAAGGTAATTAAGATTCTAACTTGAACTCTAAATAACAAATAATAGCTGAGCAGTTGGTAGAATGTATCCCAAGAGACTAAGAAACTGAGAAAAAGGGCCATCTGAGAGCGATGCAGGCCTGTCAGGAGAGTGGCTGATCTGAGCCCATCAGGTAAACACTTGATAGGTATAAAGTGTTCATTCTTCAATAAGGTTTCACTCATGAGAGAGAGAACATTTTTCTCTGGTGATCCAGAAATTAGAGTAGCAAGGAAGGATGATATGAAGTATCATTTAAATTTAATAGTTATAACTCTACACTCAATACAGATAGTATTACATTATGATGTCATCATCATCATCGTCACCATAGTGTAGTAAAGATAACAGTAGGAATAATAGTTAACAGATGGATAATGCTTGCTCTGTGCCAGGTATTGTTCTTAATACATATTAATTCATTAAACTCTAATTCATTAATTCACTCACACCACCCTATGAAGAGGTACCATCATCATCCTCATTTCACAGATGAGGAAACAGAAGCACAGAATGGTTAAATGACAGCTAATATGTGACGACGCCCGACTGGAACTCAGTAATGAAGCTCTGGCTGCACTCTTATTCTGCCTCTCCCACAACGACCTCAGCTCGTCTCTAACTCCTGCCTTTTCTCCTTCGGCACCCCAGATAGACTCCTCTGTGGTTACTATTCTTGTGACCTCAGTTCCAAGCTGGGTCAGCCCTATGGCCGTCTAACTTCTAAACTCTCCTTTAGTCTTCCTCACAGGACTCACCCAGTGCACAAGATCTGGGATCCCCACTGGCTGGGGTGACTGAACTTCCAGTGCACTTCATGCTCCTGCCTGCATTTAGGAGCAGAGTCATGCAGGAGGTGTAGCAATAAAGGCTTCAGAGGGAACCTTCATGTCTTCATGTTCTGAACGCATGTTTTATAGGATTCACCTAGCAGACAATGAAAATTCTGGGGCTCCCCATACCCCAACAGCACTGCCAGAGCTGTGAGATGCAGGCCAGCAGGCTCCAGGGCTGGGTGAACATGCTTAGGGAAGTAGGAACAAGGCAACAGCCACTTGACTGAACCACAGGTGGGGAGAGCTGTCCTCTATTTTCTTGCCTCTGTAACAAAACTAAACAAATACACTAAGGCAATAGCGTGAACACTCAAGGCTGACTTTCATCCCTCAACTTAAAGGAGTCAAATGTGTATGTGTGTGTGTGGTGTGTAAGCATAAGTACACATACACACATACATATATGCACACACAATTGTCTTCTGTAATTGCACCAAGGAAGCGTAAGGCCAGAAAAGACCCCACGCCACTGGGTAGGGAGGATTATGGTTGCCCCTTCCTAAAATTCTCCTGCAGAGCATTCCAGGAACAACATACAGATCCCAGACCGCCCAATATTTTTGCATGAAAGCATTTCATGAGAAATATTCATTTCATTAAGGAAAGAGCTGATCCTGGAAGAAGATTCTTGACTCAACAAAACCCAACTTCAAACAAGGAGAACACACATGGCCGTCAGTTCTGCTTCGAGTTTGAGAAAGAATGAAGGATCTCCCTGCCAGAGCAAGATTGCTGAGATGTTTACAAGTTTCAAGAGCTGAGGTCATTGTCTCTCAAGACTTTCTCTATACATTTGTTGGACATCTGAAAGGGAGACTTGTTCCATATTTTATATCCAAGCAACAGTTGTGATCAAGAATAGATATTACAAGTAAATTAATCCATGTTCTTATTTTGTAAAACTAAATCCAGACACAGCTGAGCAAGCTCTTCTGACATGTGGCTCTCAGGGGAGTCTCGCTGAGACTCAAGGTCCTGGGGCTGTGGACCGACAAAGCCAGGGCCATCCCAGAGCTGTCTGACCTTCTGGCCATGGCCTTGGCCAAGACCATACCTCCTCCACTAAGACGTGAGCTGATGGCCATCCCCCAGGCTGTCACCATCTAGCAAATGGAAGGGACCTGATGTGAGAGGAGTGAGGAGAAGAAACAGATTTCTCTTCTGGTGAAGTGCTGATGGGCGGCTTACTGGAAATGCTAGTACTTGACTTGAAACTAAATAAAATTTGCTTAACAGGAGAAGATATTTTGGGTTGATTTTAAAAAGCTTACCCAAAAGCATCAAGAAAGGGGACTGTAAACTGGGTTTGGGGACCCACAAGTGGCTCCTAGGAAGACTTCTAGCCCGACAGGGGCTGACAGGGGACAGAAGAGAGACGGGGATGGCACCTCTGGGACTTGAGGCATCTTCTTCACCCTCCCCTCTTCCTGGCCAGGCATTTTTCTTTTAAGATTCTAGAACTTACTGTCCTTCGCTGCTTTACTTATGTCTAATATATTAACATTCCAATCTTCAAGACAGTTTTGGTCAGTTATCAAAACATGATTTGTGCATTAAGTGTTCTCTCTGTTGTATCTGAAGACGTGCTTGTTTGAGGGGACTAAGCTCTCAGTGCATTTCCAGGACATGCATGTTGAGTAATTGTTTATCTAGGAGCATGGATAAGTCCACACTAACCCACCCATGTCACCTCTCCAGGCACACACTTCTGTTCTCATCTTGGCCAGGGTCAAGGGTGAAGTGAGGATGGGGTAATGGAAAGAATGTGGGCTTTAGAGGCAGAAGCTTGAGCTCAAGTCCTGATTATACCATTTATCATTCAGCTCAGCAATTTTGGGCAAGCCTCAGTTTCCCCTTATGTCACATGCAGATAATAATTCCTGCTTGTCTACCTTTGTGTTATTGACATATAAACATGAGATAACATTATGGAATGGTTTATAAATTTTGGAGCACCAAGAAACTGGAGGGTGCAATTTTTTTTCTCATAGGTAAAATCACTAGGTTCCTACTAAACAATAGGAAGTGAGGATTTTCAAAGACAGCATCTGAATGATTGATGCAAACTGCAGTGTCAGTAAAACTTAATGGTAGTTGTCATTGGGCAAAGGATTTGTGCAGTAAATTAAGGGCAATGAAAGCACAGTTTCTGTATGTCTTTAGATATTGTTGTAAGGCTATTTGGAGTTTCCTAATAGATGGAAGAAATTTTTAATTAAGCAAATAGAGAATAAGGCCTTCATCTCAGATATAAGGCTTACTTGTTGACAGCCTAGCAAATATTATCACTTGGTTGAACAGTGATCAAGTATGAACAATGGCATGGTTTCACATTAGATATATGGAACTCAAAGTACAGGGGGAAAACTGGTGTTCAACAATTCTTTGTGTATGCCTGAATCGATCAGAAATGTGTGGAGGTGAGAATAGCTTTCTCAACCATCTTCCCAGGGAACCACTATTACAGAACTTTCTAATGAGTCTCGGGCATTGGTACCAGCTTCCAGATCTGGGCACATGCATATTTCTACCACGTCTGAGCCTCTGGGCAAACCCCAGCCACAGCCAGAACCCATCCTAGTGTTGAGATGTTTGGTCTGGTTATATCTAGGGTTGGTCAGGGCTACAGGTCAGCTTGGGGACACAGTGAATTGTGGTTGGTTGAGGGCATGGAGCCCAGCATAGTGGATACCTGAACTATTTGCACAACTTCCCATGACAGCTCCTGAGAACCTCACAGCTGTCACGTCATCCAGCTTAACGTGTACACACAAACACATATATTCCACCCCTGGAGTCGTTTTTTTCCTCAAAAATGTTTCCCTTTACTTAAGGCCATCAACAATGAAGCACCTCGTCACCCAGGGCTTGGTATAAACAAACAGCTTTGCTCAGCAGGCGGGACTTGTACTCTGTGGGAGGCAAACACTACTTATAATACACCATACAGTGTGTCTATCTGGGATCGAGTCACAGGAGAGTGTAAAAGGAACAGGAAATGGAAATATTCACACCTCCAAGCCCCCATGTCACTGCTGCCTCCCCACCCGCCAAGCACAAATGCTAAGCTCTTGATCAAAGCTGCGAAAGACACACATGGGATGGTGTGGGACACGTCACTAAGTGGTCTAAACGAGACCCAGGCCATTGATCACACTCATTTCCCCTGGCCTGGCAGATTCATAGAACAGATGGTGCTTTGATTTTAATTTTAAATTGAAGAGAAAAAAGTTCAAAAATGACCCCCTGGAGCCAGTGGGTCTGGAGCCCCTGCCGTCGGCGGCAATGGGAAGCACATTACTGGGTCCTGGCAGGGCCCCGCCACTGCTGATGACAGACACATCTGCAGGGCTGGGCTCACAGGCACATGTCACCATGCCACTCTGGCATGTGGGGAAATTGGGAGGTGAAGTCTGCGCTCTGCCTGCGGCTGATTGA